GGGGGGAACCCGGACCGCGGCCGCCCCGGCCCCGCCACAGCCACCGCCCCGCGACCGCCCCTTAAAGGCACCGCCCGCCGGGCACGCAGCAGCCCACCGGCCACAGCATCTGTGTGCTGCCCTGTCCTCTCCTGTTCTGTCCACTCCACTCCTGTTCTGTCCACTCCACTCCTGTCCTGTTTCCTCTCCTGTCCTGTCTCCTCTCCTGTCCTGTCTCCTCTCCTGTCCTGTCCTGTCCTCTCCTCACTGCCCCCTGTCACAGCCCCGTGTCCTGGTGCTCTGCTCGATCCAAGTCAGTCTCATGGAATTATGGAAAGGTTTAGGTTTAGGAAAGCTTTAAGGTTTTCAAGTCCAGCTGTTCCCCAAGGCCACCGCTTAACCAATGTCACTCAGTGCCACATCCACGTGGATTTTAAATCCATGCAGGAATGGGGACTCCATCACTGCCCTGGGCAGCTGTGCCAGGACCAGACACTTTCCATCGAGAAATTTTCCCAATATCCAATCTAAACCTCCCTTGGCACAACTCGAAGCCCTTTTTCCTCCTGCTGTTCCCTGGAAGCAGAACCTGATGCCCCCAGCTATCCCCTCCTGTCAGGGAGTTGTGCAGAGCCACAAGGTCCCCCCTGAGCCTCCTTTGCTCCAGGTGAGCCCCCCCAGCTGTGCCAGGTGCTCCAGACCCTGCCTGGCCCTGTGGCCACTAGCAGGATGTCCCCACAGCCCTTACAGACCAGCCCTGGCCTCAAGTGAGCACCCCACAGGAGCAGGAGCCCCCCAGTGCCCCAGCAAAGCCTTGAAGAAGATGGATTTTGTTACAGCTTTAGTTCTCAAAAGAAAGGTAACATTCCAGAAATTTAAATTACCTGTTAAAGGGATTTTTTTTTCTCCTAAATATCTTCCCTCCAAGAAAATAAGCTGGTGCCTGTGTTCAACCTTAAAAGAGAAGCTGGAATTTTTCTGTCTTGGTGGTACCTGGATTTGGAGCAAACTGAAAAAGACTCTGCAGATATAACCAAGATCTCCAACCTCACCTCATCCAGAGCAGGAAAGGTAGAACCTGCCATGGAGAGTTTGCATATGTCCTCACTTACAAAAATTAGATAATTAAACCCTTCCTAGCAGTAGGAGGATCAGAAAATAAATGAGGTTCCCTGTGTAGTGCTGTGCCATGTTTTTTACCTGCAGCAAACCCAACTCTTTCCACGTGCAGTGATTTCTCAGCTAAGCCCTTCTTTCAGCTTCAACCATTCCTTTCCTAAAATGCAGAGAGGGTTGCATATGAATTCCTGCCACATCTAAAAAGGCTGATTTTACAAACAAAAGAAATGTAAATAATGGACTGCTCATTCTATAGTGTCTATTCCACACAGTGTCTCATTATTTCCCAACTCCTTTTTAGACAAGGAGCTGGGAATTTCTGCTTTACCCACACCTTGCCTGAGGCAGCATTTGCAGAGCTCAGTCAGAACTAAAAATCACCAAATATTTTTGGGGCCTCAACTTCTTTCAGGCAATTCTGAAAATGGAAACGATACCTGTGGTACTTGCTAAGGAAAAACCATGGAAAACTCAAAGTTCACCAGGAATCCTGCCTGAGTGTGTAAATCAGAGCCCAGCTCTCATTTTGTCACTGACATTTACTTGCCCAGTATAAGATTACAGCAGAGTAACAGCAGAGAGCAGCAGTTGGGGCAGATAAAAATAACTTTGCAACACTACTTGCTGCCCTCACACATGAGGTCACATACATTTAATGGCTATTTTAAACTCAAACACTTTTTTAAGCATCCAGTGGTCAGGGTCATAATTTTTTTTTTTTTTCCACATTAACAGGTATTTAGAGGGATCAGAAAAATATAATAAGCTGAATGTTCTTAGTACCTCAAAGCTGGTTTTCACTGCTGTTGCAGCCTAAACTTGGTGCACTTCAGTCATCTTATTTCAGCTGCCCTGAGAATAATTAAGTGCTGTTAACAGTCAAGAGCCCAAGACAAACCTTCATTTTTCTCAAATGATGTTATTTCCTTATTGCATATGGAAAGGCAGGCTATATTTTATATAAAAAGAGTATAAAATAAGGCAGAAATTACAGAACAAAGGTGAGGATTATCAGCAAATGGCCAAAAAAAGAGGAAAGAAACAAATCCTTTATCAAGTGACAAAATGAGCTTCATCCCTTTATATTTCTCACACCAAAACCACAGGAATGTTTAATTAGGAACCCACTTGACTAAGTTTTTTCTCAGTGAAGCAGTTCCAGCCTGTGATGGAATTACAATCCATGGTATGGAAAATAAGAGCATATTTAGGGAAACAATCCTTTATAAAGCAAAATTATATTACAACTGGCAGCTGGATTACTGAACAACACTAATTTTTATTGTGCCTCAGTGTTTTCATGCCCTAATCATCAAGAAATACAAATGTATTCCATCTTTTTAAGAAGGACAAGACTATAAATTGTCTAAAATTGCCCAAAGCTAATGCTGGTTGAGTCTGGCTGCTCCCAGCCCTGGCACTGGGAGGTTTAACATACAAGGGAGTGCACACAGCTGTAAATCCACTCTTCCTGCTCATTCAGGGCCATCACGTGCTGAGAGACCTGGCACAAGAGAAAGCAGAGGTGAAAGAGAGTTCTCTTTATTGGAGACCTGTTCCCCAATGTGCTGTGCAAGCAAAGTGTTCAGTACTTGTGTCACTAAATGATGAATATTTATCATCTACACTGACAGATATTAAAAAATTACTCTTGAATTTAACAGCAAAACATCCATAAGGACTGAGCCTACAGCTTATACTACATGAAGCCTAAATTCAAATTACAAATCACCTTACAGGATGAGGCAATGGATATCTAAAGTGTCAGCAGCAATTTAAATAGGCCCCAGTCCTGCCTGTGTCATGGGACTGCTCTGTTTGCAGCAGGCTTGAATGAATCCACCCTGGAAAGCTGGGAAATACAAACCTCTGCTTTTAAACAAAGAGGGTGTACTTTTAGAAAAATAAAACCAGGGGGTTATTCATAAATAAATGAAGAAAAACATCATCTGCATTTGTAATGCATTTTACATCACATTCCATCCTTCAGAACCCCCATTTGGAATTGTCACTAGATCCTGCCCTGCTCTGCAGCAGGGCTCAGCAATCAAATTGTCTCATGGTTAACATGATCCCTAAATCAAGTTTAACAGAAGTTAACCACCAGCAAATCACAGTGTGCACAAGGACTGCAATACATTTATTTCCCTTTCTGATTAGTGCATGCTTGGTCTGTTCTCACAGGCATCAATACATGGGATTAAAAATTGCTAAGTGGAAAAAAAATAAAATACAGTCTTAGAGAAAGAGTATTGAAAATCTTAGTGAATGGTTCATGTATAGAATGGACAATGAAATAGGCTCATGTATGAAAAACTGGATTATGGAATTTTATAGCAAACTGCACAGGAAAACAGGGATACATCAAGTACATGATCAAATTTGAAATATCAAAAAGTGCTTCTGATCTGTTCTAGTCAGAAGATGCCACTGTCCACATGCTCATTATCATGATAAAAGCCCTACAAAAAGAAAATATAAAGATGTCACCTGCTTTTCTCTAAAGTTGGCTAAGCAATAAGAGAACCTTACCATCATGGATTTTGGAGCCACTTCCACAGCAAAAATCGCCAGTCCCCTATTGTTTAGGCAGTTCTTACTCTGCTCATTGTTGACATGAATTATCACTTTATTTTCAGACTGCAAGTGAAAAAACATGAAGGAACCATTAGACTTTAGTGGTTAAGAGTCTGTTCTTTGTGTAACATCTGCACACTCCTTGGACTTCCTGTGACCTTGCTGTTTTAGGGATGGAAATGCTTTATGGATACTCTGAAGAGGAACAGATACTCTTTGAAGAGTAGCAAATGCACCTTAGCACCACTGCCAAGGTCAAAAGTCACTGCAGACTCATGAAGCAGAGAACATCCAGTTATCTCTGTGCAGCCCTGATCTCTTTCGCTGACATATCCCCAAACATATAAATAACTCTGAAATATCCACCCTAAAGGGCGAAGTGCAAAGCCAAATCCAGAGTTCCAGGAGCCTTAGTATCCAGTCCTAATATTAGTCCCCCAACCCACCCCCTTTTGCATGGCTGGGAATTTAAAAATACACTTCTTGCTGTGATCTTTTAAGATTTGAAGCATCTGAAGTTCAACATCTTACTGCACTGTGCTTATTTACTCACAGTTCCTGGTATAAAGGAAAGTGAAAACATTCCTTGTGATCTGTGGAAAAAGGTTTAAAATCTCACCAACCACTTCTACTTGGATTTACAACTTTCAGCTTGAATTATTAATAAAGCACACCTGGAAGAATAATCAGGTAAAAACTCATCCATAACACACACCTAAAAATCACTGCTCTGACTTTCTTATGGACACTGAAAACATTCAGTAGTGTAAATGCTGTGATCTTTGCTCTTGCTCCAATTGATTTCCTGCTGTTAGTGTTTGCTTCCTCATATGATGACAATACTGTGTCAAAATATTGAAAAATTGGGATGTGAACACAAAAATACTCAGTTTCTATACAGTAGTTAGAACTGCTTGCCTCATTACAACATTCTGCCCTTTCCACCAACACTGACCCAGGCTCTTCTGAGGTCACAAGGAACACATCAGGCAGTGTTTTTTTTAATGAAACAGACACAAAAACCTGATTTCAGGAAAAGCGATTCTCAAATAGGACCTGAGGAAGAAGAAGAAGCAACAACAGACATTAACAAAAAGTACAATACAGAATTTTCAGGCCATACCTTATTTTCAATCACAGAGGTGATTCTGCTGCCAGATCTGTAGGTGTAGATGAAGATGTTCTCAGAGCCATCCAGCACTTTGGCCTCTCCTTTATTAACCACAGACCTGCAGACAGCTCTGCTGAGCTGGGAGCCCCCTGCCTCCAGAGAAATGGCTTTAATTCTGGGTTTGCACCTCTCTGCACTGATGTCAATAACAAAGGGGCAGGCCTGCAGTGAAGAAGATGAGTTTTAGCATCACTCTAGCTGTAGTTTTTCCCCTCAGATTTTCACCCACAGCTCCTAAGTATTTTCATATTTGAACTAGAGTGACCTTGATGTAAATATTTCCCTGAATATGAAATATTATAAACTGTGATCTGTTGCAATCTTTTACACCAAATTAAACCCCAGGGCCACTGGCCTTTTTCATGCCATTCCCAGTCCACCTGACATAGCTCAACACAACAAACTCCTCCTTGGACAGAAAAATGTCCAGGAATTAAAATGAAATCTGAATGTATTACAGTTTATTTCCAGTGTGAAACAAACCTGTCACACTGTTGCTGTTTGTGCCACTCCACACAGATTTAACATTTGTGCAATGTTGAATTGAGCACTCTGGGAGTAGCTTGGCTACATTTTACTCCTGGTGTAACAATCAAGGGCTTGTATTTTCTTAGGCACAGCACATCAATTCCTTTCTAAAAGCTGTTGGAATCCACCAGGATTTCTCAAGTTCTGTCTCAGTACTTCCAAAACATCAATCTTAAATTATTTGAAATCAAGGAATTAAAGAGTTAAGTGAGAGACACGAGTTAACAGCTGGAGAATTTTAGATTAATTACCGAAGCATTTGAGAGCTGTGCTGTCCTTTGGAAAGCAAAGGCTGGAGCCAGAAACCACAGCTGGAACAGGGCACAAAACACCTTCCTGAAATTCCTAACTGGAGAAAAACCTCCCCAAAATGCTCTTTCTTGGAGGAGGGCTCTCTCTTGTGGCTGAAATGCAGAAAAACAGCCTTGCAGGGACTGCCAACCACAAGTCAGAGGAAAAGGAGCCCATCCTTAAATCCCTCAGCACCACCCCAAAATTTTCACTGAGAGATAACTGATATATCTCATACTGGCCATTTTTAGGTCTTTATATATTTTATATACTGACTACACTGACCTGCTTCACAAAGTTAAATAATATTATCAGACTGTGATCCTAAAGATCTGCTTTTCCTGAGAATTAAATTATTTAATTATCTGTATATTTAATGCTTCGATTTTTCTTAATTTTTTTCTCTTCATAGGAGATTCTCGTTCTTTAGAAAGAATTATTAACATGATAAATATGTAATATGTATTTCAGAATATAAAAATAAATAGATACTAAAAAAAAATAATTTAATCTGTCAATGCACAGAAACATCAGAGAAATAATCCCTGGTCCTGCAAAGCAAAAAATGTGTAACCTAAACCCAAAAATTTTAATGAAGCATTAAAATTTTATGTGGCACCTCTTCAGAACCTGTTGTAAATAGCAACAATAACAGAAATGGTTATGTCTGGAAACTAGGAATTCTGAATCACATGGAAAAAAATTCTCTTTATCCATTTCAATTGAGGTTTGGGCCACAAAAAAATACTTTTTTAAAGTGAAAAAGACCTGTTTTTTCTAAATTTGCTGACAGGTCACAGTTTACCATCCTCATTCTCCTATCACTCCTCACCAACACAGTGCACTGATTCTTTCAACAGACACAACCAGAAATTCCTTCCTCTATAACCCCATGAAATCCTGTCTTTCTCTAAAGCAAAGGAGAATTTCTTTTTTCCAAAGATCCAGGTGCTGTCCTAAGAATCAGGACAATGACAGTGGAAGCCCTGAATGGTGGCAGTGGCTCCCTGCCCTCCTGCAGTCAGTTTGTGGCAGACACAAAGATGGCAGCAGTTAAATGTGCAGGATTCTTGCTCTGTGCCTCTCCTACCTCTGTCATTTCTAAGGCTTTGTTGTAGCCCAGGGACAACAAAGTGACCCAAAGGTCCCAAGGATCCCCATCCCGGTCGTTGGCTTCCATGAGATTCAAATCCAGAAATCCTTGTCTTGTTAGTTCATTCTTCTTCATCTCAAAATTCTCTGTTTCAAAGGAATAAAAACAGCACTTCAAAATCTGTTCTCTCTGCAAACACCTTCCTCCTTCCAAAGCCAAAATCCCCCTCCTGTTAACAAGGTTGAAAAGATGGAGCCAACTTAGAGCCTCAAGATCTCCAAGATTATTTGGGAAAGAATGTCCTTGACCAGCCATGTGATGGTTGCAGAGCTCCCTTGTGGATTTGGGATAATGCCTACTAACAGCTGGCTCCTTGGATAACCCCAAAAAAGTGGGAGATTTCAAAACAAAATGACTTCATATTGGTTCTTTTTTTCCTAAAAGTTTGTGGTTGAGCTTTGCAGAATGGGGTATTTTAGGAATGGGAAATGAAAGCCAGCTGGAGCCAACACCTTGAAACGCTTCAGGTCCTTGATACAGAAATGATTTACTTAGTTCCTAAAAAGCAATAAAATTCCAGTAATCCTAACACCCCTCTCTAGAGAGAATATCATAGATCCACCACTCTCATGTCAGCAAACACATAATTGAAATGTCCTCGTGTCAGGGACTTTTAAAAATGGTTTTCTCATCTTCATAACAATGCTAAATCTTTACTATATATTATTAAAAAGGGATTACCAATTTAATAAATCTATCCAAGGGTACAGATGCTGTAATAAATGGCTTGAACTTTGGTGTCAAGATTGATGATATTCGTGTGAACCCTTCCACTGATTGATGACCTGGTGAAACATTCCCCATCTTCTCTTTCCTCTCATATTTATTCACACATTTCCACCCCTCCCGCTTGTATTACCCTGACAAAGCCATCAAGTGTGGAAAAGCACATCCAGGGATGAAACAGAGGAGAAAGTCAGTTCTAGAAATGTATTTTTGTAGTTTTCCATCAGTTACGAAAAACTCTGATACCTCAGAGTGTTTTGGGAAGAGATAATTAACAGGGCTTGGCAGATTTAAAGTATTTTAGCCAATGTGCCACAGCCTCCAGAGGAATTATGTCAAACATGATATGGATTTTATAAAAGGAGACACTGTCAACCCACAAAAACTCTGGCTGCAAATTTAGAGACTAATTAAATGTCCCTCTCCACACTTTGTCAGATAAAAAAAGCAGCACCAGCCCAAGCTGCACAAAGGAGATGGATTAAACAAATACCTGTGACAGTTTCCTTCCCCATATGATCCAGGATTACAAACCCTGTAGGTTTTGGCAGCTACAAAACAATTAGGAAGGGGAAGAACTTTCTCAGCAGAAGGTCAGTGGCACACACAGCAGAATGAAGCAAAGCAAAGGACAGGAGACTGGAAAAAAAGAAAAAGAGAGGAGGAAGAGAACAAGATCTACACATGTTTTTGTAATAGATACAGAATACCCACTTCTAGCCAGCTTGGAAGTTTATTGATAGCCTTAACTAGCTGTACCACAGTAATGAACTTACCCTTACACACAGCCCAGGCTTCCTGATCACACTTCTCCCCACTAGTCCTCAGCTCAAAGAAGTTGTATTCCTCCAGACTCAGGAGGCCATTCCCATCCAAATCAATTGTTTCAAATATCTCCAACAGAGTAGCTCTGAGGGATGAAAAAGGCCAAACTGTTTCCAAAGGCTTCCATTTCCTTTTGCTGTCTCATAATATTGCCAAGTTCTGTTCAGTCTGTTTGAGATTACTCTGTACAAACAGAATAATTCTGTACTTTGGGAACATCCAGATTTAAAAAGCCACATTCTAGATGGAAAAGAGATTTTTATTCTTATGTTTGGGACTAAAACTCACCGGAATTCTCTGGTGAGAGCCAGCTCTCCATCTTCATCCCTCCACACCAGTTCTGCTTCTCCAGTAATTTGGGTTTTTACCTTTCTCAGCCTGCAGCCAGTTGTGAAAGGGAGCAGCCAGTAAACTCCAGCTCCAAGCTCCCCTCTCCAGCCAAACACCTGCTCTTAAAGAAAGACAGAAAAGTTTGTAAGAACTTCTCAAATGATGCCTTTCTTTGTTGCCAGCAAAATTCATACAAAAGTGATTAAGTACTTGAAAACACTGGGAATGCTGGGTTCTCTCCTTAAAAAAATATAAAAAAAAAATAAAAAACATTGAATCTCTTAGAATAAAAATTAGAAAAACAGGAAAGAAATAAGGGAAGAAGGGGAAAATAAATTAATGCTCTCTAATTTTTACCACAGGAAAAGAATAGTCTTTGTATTATGAAGTTCAAGTAACAAGGAGAAAGAAAATGAAAGGAAATTTAAACAAATTTTGCCTTGGGTATTTTGTGTTTGAAGGCATAGAAACAGAACTGAGTTTTTACAGAGTAGCTGTAAATATAGCCAGCAACTCAGCAGTTCTGGGTACAGCTGGAATTCCTTCCAAACACATGGAATTCACACCTCCAGCATTAACACACACAGTAAAAAATAACAATGAAAATAGGAATACACCAAAAATCTCTAACCTCTTTGTTTTGGAGTTCAGTAAAGCTCACAAGCTGTAGATTCTCTTGTGTTTCATTTTCCTTCAGAATAAACAAAGCTGTATCCACTGACAACCAGCGACAAGATTTTCCTAAAAAGAAAAATATCCCCCCAAAAATGCTTAATAATGGCCCAAAATTGGTTTTCTTTGCATCTGAAAATAAATATTCCCATGGTTTTTATTGATCCCTGCTGATGAAAAATGGGAAAAAAAATCTGTTCTATGCTATTGGGATTTTCTTCCTGTTTAGGCTAAACAAATAAATTGTTCCAAGCCTTGTGATTGTCTTGCAGATAATTAACAATTTTATCATCAAGAATTATTGCTAAAATAGTTCTATCATTAAGGCTCAAGAATATCAAGGAATGGTTACACACCACACAAATTTCTTAAAAAAAAAAAAAAAAGCCAGCCCAGGTGACTTTATAACAATTTGTGGTTTTAAAGCCTCCTGTTTTATGGGATTAAAAAGGGAATATTCTACTAGGGGGAAAAAAAATCATTTCAATGCAGCAACTGGATGAAGCCCTGTGGTAAATCTCCAAGCCCTCACCTCTTTTTAAGAGGAAAATTAAAAATAAACACACTCACCTTCTGCCTGGGGAACAGTGAAAGGTTTGATGGTGACACAAACTGCAGATCTCTGGGGTAAGTGCAGCCTGTACTTGTGACTGATGATTTCCCCATCTTCCTCCAGGTAGAAGCAGCCTTTGGATTGTGCACATTGCCATTCCTGGAAAACAAGAAAATATTAAGTGCTTACTTCATTTTGGATGAAGATTTGATTATTTAATGAACTCTGAATAAAACAAACCATGAGATACAGCATCAATATACTTTTATTTTAAAAAAAAGAGTCCCAAATATTCCTTTTTGTAGACAATTTTTACAAAGTAACGGTGCTTCACTTGTGAAAATGCCTGAAAAGCACAGAGATTAACCCAATGCTCCTACAGCTGAAAATTAAATTGGAATTGCCATGAAGATTCTGATAATTATATTTGCCAACAGCTGACAGCATGGATTAATTTAAATACAACTATTATACATTTTGCAAGTCCCTTTCTGCTGTTCTTTAGAGGTTTGCTTTTTTTTAAAAAATGAAGATTTTTCTAAGGAAGTTCTAAAAGTCTTTCAAAGTAAATTTGCTGTGGAAAAGATAAAGACTAATTAAGTTATTTAAAATAAAGTGGGATGTCCAATCTCTGGCAGGCACTGCTATCCAAGTCCCTCCCCTCCTATAATTTCCCATAATCTTTTCATCGTGGGCACAACATACTGGGGAAGTTTTTAGGGATAATCTTTATGGAAGTGCAGCTATTGCTGGACCATGGAGCCAGAGATCAACCTCTGGCCAACTTTTATGGAGCAGAACAAAACTAACTAACAAATCAATCCAATAATTTTATCTTTATCCATTAAACCGGATTTTGGTAGTGACAGGACAAGGAAAAAGGGGACCAATCATGGAAAATAATTAAGAAAAAAGTGATCAGAGACAAAATATTCCTGGGATTTAACGGTGAGGGTTGAATATGGAGCAACAGCTGGGGTTGTGTCAGTCAAAATGTGGATAATGGGAGCTGGGATTAACATAAATCAGTGACAGAATTCCAACATGGAGTTCAGCTTCTTGGATCATTTCCACTACTGCTTATTCCAACATTTCCATGACTCCTGACTTTATCTAAATGGAAATTTTAAAAATGGATATTTTTTTCTTAAAATTTGACACATCTGAAACAACTAGTTGTTTGATTCAAGCTTGATGCCTGCCAAAACTGCTGGACAAAAATCTTATCTTTATCCTTTCCTTTTGGGAAATCAAATCCTGTAACTCTGGTAGAGAGCATGAAGTGGTGCTAGAAGTCTTAAATTATCAAAATTCCAAACAGGTATGGAAAACTGAGAAGCTAAAAGAGGATTTTTTGATTGGATTTTCCTCTGTCACTTCAAAGCAGAACAGAAGTTGTTGAATAATAGCTGAAGTGGGAAATGTTTGTGTTAGAAATGTTAATTGGAAGGAAATGTTAGGCACTACCTGCTGCTGGTCACTGCCACTGAAATTTAATATTGAAAATATCTACCCATTGATGCATAATTCCTAATAAAAAGCAATGATTGAGAGGAATTTTCTAAGGGCTTTTAATTTTAGACAGTTCATGTTCTGGCTTTCACTGTTTTCCTCTGTCAGAAATGTAAAGTTGGTGTTGCTCCAATATCCTGAGGGCAATATTTCCATACTTAAATAAAAAGACAGGTGAACAGCAAAAACAAATAAAACAAAATTCTTGGATATGAGATGAATAAAAAGAATTTTTGGGTGATGGATTCTGAGTCACACCACAAATAAAACCCTGGGTATTTATTCATTGATTCTGGTAGAATGAAATGAACTTTAAAAAATTAACAGTTCTACTTACTTATACCTTTCCATGTTGATTGATTTTAGTTTTTGGATGATGCCAAGCAATACTAATCAATATCTTTTTTTTTCAGTCAGTTTTTACTGGCTTGTGGAAAGAAAAAAGAATCCAATCTTGGGGAAGTGTGTGCTGGTTTTCTACACCCCACATCATGTTTGAACAAGGTGAGATTGCAGGTTAAATTGCACAGAGGTCCAGCTACCTAAACAGACTGCACAAAATCCCTGGGAGATGATGTTTTGAAATTTTAATATAGAACAAATGTCACTGTATAGCAATGGGGAAGATATAAAGGACTTCAGAGTTCAATAACAAATCCAGAGTTGTTATTTGAAACAAAAATGCAGCTCCTGAGGACAATCAGTTCAGTTTCCCAGCAGCAGTTACACTGTGTGGTCAGAACCATTTTTTCCCTTTTACACAGGAGTCTCCAGGTGCACATTTTTAATGTATCCCAGCAGTTCCCAGTTAATGTTTTTTATTTCTACAGCTATTATTTTCTGTTGAAAGAAAACTAGTAAAGGTTCAGTCCAGAAAGGAAAAACAAAGGGAAAAAGATCAATATTAACACTCTACAAATATTGACTTAGCAAAGTGACTTTGTTGTCTCTCTCCCCCAGGAATTTATATTGAATGAGTGATTTATTTAAAAGAAAATACTGATAGAACATATTAGTCTAACTAAAAATCAATATTTTCAGGTTACAGCATCTATTTACCAAGCAATGCCCAAGAAACTGAATATGCTCATAGATCTGTTATTTATTTCCAATTACCTTTCATGCAAAGGTTTATGATACACAATCTTTCAGACTACTTAAGCATTTAAAGTTCTCACCAACCTAATAAATAATTCAATTTTGAATTTCTCAAGAAGTCATTAACTGTTTTCTCCAACAGTGGTTTCATTTATAAAAAACACATTTTGTTCTATTAAACCTTCATACCTGAAAAATTATTTCCAATAACTTGTTGTCAGCAAAACCAACAGTATATAAAATTGTTGATAGTAATATGTACCAAGAAAGCTCTCAGTAGTTTATAGCTGCCCTTGACAAACTGTTAATAAAACATAAGACACCATTTTTCTCTGATTTTTAGCTTCTTTAAAATGCAGTAACACAGGTGCCTAGAGGAAAACACCATCATTTCAGTGTGATACCTTCATTGTGTCAGGCTCAATAATTAGCTTTGTGTTCCTGCTGCTGCTGGCACTCACAGTCACAGTGGTGGAGGTGGAAGCTTTGCTGCTTTGAGCTGATGAAGGTCTTGAAGGAGCTCTGCTGTCACCTATAAACAGAGATATTTAATTACAGTTACATTATTGCAACCCTCTCTTAGTGTTATTTATCATTAACCTTGCATTTAGAAGCACAAAGAAAACTGGATGACAAGAACTCCATCAGAGAACTTCCCTTCATCACTCTTGTGTCATTTTTGCACCTCTTTGATTTGAAGCAACTTGGAACAGCACAAAGCACATCCCAAAATTTCATATTTGGTGCCTCTACAGTCTGTTCCCTGTGGAGTTTTTCCAGTTAGGGAAGGTTTTGAAGTATCTTTATAACTCAGGAAGGACATTAAACTGTCAACAATTTAATAATTGTGCTTGAAAAGCAGTCTCAATATTTGAAACAAACACACAGCTTATTGAGAAATGTTTAGGGTTTCGTCTCTGATCTAGGAAGGAAATAAATAATTTGCCTATATTGCAACACCTGAGCATTCATTTTCTCTCTTCCCTCTGGACTGTGTCACATGAAAATCAACAAAATCCACTCTTAGGCATCTGAGAGCTTCACAGCTGCAGCCATTTGAACATATTTTACTGACACAATGATGTGATTTCCACAGTAGAAATCATATTCATCAATGAAATCTTCAATAATCTGAGAAAAATTGAAAAATTAAACAAAAACTCAACAGCTCATTGAGCCAGAGCTTCATCTCCAACAGAAAGAAAACATAAAATATAAGAACTATAAATACCTTTGGCCAATTTGTGATCAGTTTTCCTGGAGACCCTCGGGGATGCTTTTGACACTGGCAGTGTGATCCCATGGGAGAAATGTTCAGTTTGATTCCCAAAGTGCTGCTGCCTCAGTCGAGGGTCAGTTTCCAGCCTGTCCCTTGCAGCTTTGCAGCACTGCTCACTGGTGGTCAGGTACAGCTCACAGAACTGGAGAGACAAAAAAAGAGTATTTCACTTATTTCAAGTTACATTTCTCAAAAGGCTCTAAGGAGAAAAATGGAGGATTAGCAAGGAAAGCACAGCTCAGCAGATGGAATGTATTTCCTCTTCAAGCCAAATATAATTTTAATTTTCAATAATCAGAATAACCACTCAAGTACCACAGTAAAATGCAGCCATGATTCAACAAGGAGGTCCAAATATTGAACAAAAATTACTTGTGACTTTCAACTCTTCCTTTCTAGATACTGGAAGACTGATTTTAAAGGCTTCTTACCAGTTTTACTCCTATGAAACCATATTTATGTACAAGTCTCTGTGGGCTGTTTATTCAGCCTCAAATTTAGAATCCTGGGGTAAGGTCATCACTAAAGTTCATACAAGAACAAATATCACTCTTAGCCATACCTTGCTATAGTCAAGTTTGTCACTGCAGTTAAAATCAGCTTGTTTAGTAATGCTGGTTACTTCCTCCCAGGTCATTTTATCACCTCTCTGCAAGAAAAAAACAGCTCAGTTTGGGTTCCTAATCAAGAATCCTGCTTGCCTACAGCACAAGTTTTATGAACAAAGGATGAATCCTTTAATATTCTTTCAGAGAAGCTTATCTTGCAAAATCTTGAAAAAGATTTCAACAGATTTTGATTTGAATCATGAAAACAGAGGTTAAAATCATTAAAAATTATGTCTTTACAATGCTACTAAATATCGAAGAGATCAATTGTTTCAGGTTATGAAATTTTGTGGTGTCTTCTGGAAACCCACCATGAAAATTTTCCATAAAATGGGGAATCCCAGCTCTCAGAACCATCTAATTTCCAAAACCTCTACTAATTCAGGATGGATAATTAAGTTTCTAGTAATACTTACTGTTGTAAGAATTTTAAAAAGTTCATCATGTAAAATATATCCAGACTTATCTGTGTCTATTTTTCCAAATGCTTCGAGTAGTTCATTTTTTGTAGCTGGCTTTTCTTTTTTTAAAATAGCACAAAAATCATCAAAATTCAGTGAAGTTGTTTGTGAAGTCCAGTATTTGTTAATAGTCTTCTGAGAAGGATTTCTTCCAGCTTGTTGAAGTGCTGAACAATAAAACATAATATTAAATATATACTCCAGCTGTTAGGAAAGGAGTTTTCTCCAAACATCCTTGAGTCACTTCCCATGTGCAGATTATTTTAAAGCCAAATCACTCCAAGAGAAAAGTGGGTCTGAAGGACAGTTTTGGTTATGATCTTAATCAAAATATCCATGAACTCAAAGACAGTCTCAAGTGTAAAATTCAACTTTTATCCAGTATCTTAATATCAAGAGCATATTATTTTTAAGTCTGCATGTTTATATATATATATATAATAATATATATATACTTCTACTATGACCAGCATCATCTTTTCCTTTTTTCATCATTTTTTCATCTTTTCTTTGCCAAGAACTGAGATCTAGAGTAGAATTTATCTGAGATAATATTTTATGTCATGCCTGTACATTTGAATGTATCAATTCAAATTATACAAAATGAATTTTAAAGGAAAAATTATACCACCAGACAGCCAATGCCACACATGCAACCAGTGCCATGGGTGTTACACCTGGCATTCTCCAAAATTAATTTTCTGGATCTATTTGCCTCTTTGAGGTCTTTACTGAAAAATCCTTTCAGTTTTCAGTGTGATGAAGGTATTATGTTAAGTGGAAATTAAATTCACAGTCTATCTGAAATGAGAGGGATGCTTTTTATATCTTCCCAAATAATCTTTTAGGGAAGCACAGGAGATCCTCCATCTCTACCTGGGCTGGCATTTGATTTGGAGCCAGATGAGCAGTGCCCAAGCCTGTGCTGGGAACTGCTGAGGAACATCTGTGAAATGAGGCGGTGGCATCGTGACAATGCTCAGTGGGAGCTGTGTCACCAGCAAAGCAACAACCAACCAAGCCAGGCTCCTCTCTTGTTAATCCCTGCCTCAGTGCCAAGCACTAAATAAAGATTTGTGCCCTGCCACCTCTGCTGGAGGAGCCAGAACAGAGCAGGGCTCACATCTTTATGGGAGCCATGCCTGGGCACGGAGCAACGGTTTGGGAATCTCAATGTCAAGGGCAGCCAGGGAAGGAAGGGCAGTGACTCTGTGGGTTTGTTTCCATGGATAGGAGAGTTCTCTGGAATGTCAGTGCAGCACATTATTATATTTGACAGATATCCTTCAAATATACAATCCTTAATTTTATATCTCCAGGGAGATCAGCACTTGCCATTCCCTATGTGCCTCCCGATTTGTATTTGTGAAAGTTCAATCAGACTGTACCTTTTATTTTTATTTCTCTATGGTCTGAGTCTGCTAAATCACTCCAGTAATATTACAACAGACAGAAAATGAAGCTACTATTTAAGGATAAGCAAAACTCCTACAAATAAAATTTCACAGGGCAAATCTCTCAGTGAGCACTTTATTTTGGAATATCAACCAAACTTCATGAAGAAAGATGCTTAAATATTGGCACCACTCCTTTGAGAAATGCCAATATTGACTTCAGATGAAATATGAGTCTTTAACTCTCAGTTCTTACAAATAAACTCTGAAATATCTCTGAAAAGATTGAGAGTCTAAACAACTAACTGCCCTCTCTAAGTTGACCCTGAAACCAAAATGCCCAAACACTGGCTGTGTAGCCAAGTGCCATATGGATAAAGCTGAAAGCCAAAGTATTTATTAGAGAGATGACATTTATTCACACTACCCCTCTATTAAAATCCAGATTATCCCAAACTATCATTAGGATGTCACAAGCTGTAGGAATATGCTTGTTAATGAGTGGAATTTCATGTTCTGGTGTAAGGAAAGAATCTACAATCAGTGCACTCAGCTTTTACAGTAGTGGTTTCCATGAAAAACCTTTTTAAAAAGAAGACAAATGCTCTAAGAAAAAAGAAACTCCCAAACTGAGCACACAATCGTACAACTCCAAGAAACTGCAAAGTTGGAATTGTATTTGCTTGAGAAATTTTATCTGGCATAGTGAAACCTCCTTCAAAACTGAAGTTATTTATTACTCAGTCTTACCTTACTCTTTCCTTATCTTACCTGGTCACTAAGATATATTATTAAGAAACCAACTTCCATTTTTCAGATCAATTTTTCTTACTTCCCTTTGAAATTCCTGAAGTTTTCAAAACAAAGCCCCACAGCTTTCAGTTTCTACCAACAGCCTTATTTAGAGCAGCTGAAACAGTCAGAGATAATTTTTTTCTGTTGTACTGCTGACACCACCACCACTTACATACAAATATAGTCTGGACAGAAAAATGAGAATTTTATATTCCAGTCTATGAAAGTGTAACTCAGGAGGAGTTAAGGAGTAAATAATAATAATAATAATTACAATAAAATGTCTCTGTCGGGCATTCCCACTTCCACCAGGCATTCAAAACTACTCTCAATTCCTTAAAGCAGTTACTGAGTTTATGCACAGGGATACTCCCACTGCAATCATCCCATGTAAGAGTTAGAGAGGAAAAAGACCCAATTATTACCTAAACTGAGCTGTTCTTTAGATTTAATATTTTCTAAGCTGCTTTTTAAGACAGTCAGATAAGCTGCTCTGCAGTTCATGTAAAAAATGGCTTCTTCTGCATGCTGGGACTTCTTCCCTTGGGAATTTTCCAAGTGTGTGGCTTTCTGATTCCCAGGAGTGCTGGCCATCCTGTGAGGGATGAAACTTCAGTTAGAATTTGTAACTGCCTCAATAATGCCTCTGCTTGTCCTCTGAAACACAGACTGGCCCTAATTATCCAAACATCCAGGTCATACCCTTTCTTTTCTCTAAATCTGGAATGGGAATAATTATCTACACTTGTAGGTAAGCACCATGAGATCCACAAGCAGCAAGAGTTTGAGCACTACATGTTCTCCACAGTTTATCTTTTATTGGCCGTAAAAAGTTTAATTTCACTGTATTTTATATAGTTGTAGACATTTGATATTACAAATATTATATAAACATTATGTAGTCTTGATATTTGAAATCACAAAAACACATTTTTATGTTATCTGTGAAACAAGGCTTTGCCATCCATGTTTTCTCTTTTTTACTCTTGTAACTCAACAGAACATATGCATAATAATAAAACTGGTCAAAATTGGAGCCCTTAATCTCAAAAAAATGCCAGGTTAAGCACAGAATTCTACTTCTTACAGTTACCTAAATATAAATAATAGAAATAAATGTGCAATAAAACTTTAAAAATAAGTATGCATAAAACTTTGAGAAACTCAAGCCTTTTAAGTCCAAGGCCCATACAATCATAAATGAATGGAAGAAAACAGAAACACATTTTTTTCCTCAATTATTAAAACAACTCAAAGCAGTAACTAATGCTGTTTGCTCAGCAGTGGTCAGCAAACTCTGACAGCAGCTTTCTGCTTCCACCAGGGGTGATTAAGGTTTTTAGAAGGCCATCACAGAGGGACACTAAATCCTGTTGTGCTGTTGATTTAACAGCCTCTTGTATTATTTTGCCCAACGTTGACTTCAGGAAATATATTCCAGTACAATAAATGGAATATCTCAAGTTCAGCAACAAGACAACATCGTCCCAGGGTTCCCTTCAGGACTCATTGGGGTTTTACTCGGGAGGCCTCAATCTCTGGCACCTTGTTGAGTTATATGGGTCTTTCCCACTTGGGAAAGGCAGATAATAATTGCTTATCAAGGATGAAGTACCCAATTTGTAACACCCTGACACTTTAATATTACACAGGCAGCAGAAGGACCCCACAGGGACCCCCTGGCACAGCCTGGCTCCTGCAAACGGGTGTCACTATAATTAAGCACCAGTGTTACACACATGGAATGAGACTGGGGGGAAAGGCAAGAAGGAGAAGAAGAATAAATGTTAATTTTCCAGTAACCAGTTTAGGAAATGTCAACTCTTGTTTGTACTCCTTGGACTTCCCATTACTGTGATATTTCTTATGTGGGCCAGGAAGTGCTGCCAATACATCGCTGGGAAATCCAGTGAGCAATGGCTTAGTGACAGCACTGCCAGCAGCCCCATGGCTTAGGCTGGGACATTTTCACTGGAAAAATGACACTTTAGAAAAATAGACAGAGGGGAGCAATCCAGCTCAGGCTTCCAAACAGGGAGAGAGTAGGTTTAGAGACTGGGAAGAAATTCCTCCCTGGGAAGGTGGAGAGGCCCTGGCACAGGGCCAGAGAAGCTGTGGCTGCCCCTGGATCCCTGGCAGTGTCTAAGGCCAGGTTGGACGGGGCTTGGAGCAACCTGGGACAGTGGAAGGTGTCCCTGCCCATGGGTGGAACTGGATGAGCTTTAAGGTCCCTTCCAATCCCAACCAGTGTCGTGTTCTCAGCCCAGAGCACTGTGGGCCGTGTCCAGTCCTTCCTTGGACACTTCCAGGGACGGGGACTCCACTCCTCCCTAGACAGCCCCTTCCAATGTCTAATCACCCCTTCTGTGAAGAAATTCCTCCTAATTCCCAAAGTCAGACCCTCCACGGCAACACTGACCTTCATGTCCCAGGCTCATCCACACAGAGCCCACATTGGCACAGGGAAGCTCTGCCCTGCTCCGGCCTCGTCCACCTGAAACGAGGAAACCTTTCCCGCACGGATCTCCTCACCTCCCTCACTAGTGGGCACAGTGGGCCACCCACCGTAAAACGACAACAACAAAAACCACATTACAATTCCCTTCCCCCGGCCCTGAGGGGAATCCGCCCTCCCTCAGCCCCGCTCGGCGGTCCCTGAGGGACTCCTGAGGCGCGTTTGGCCGCCCCGAACCCGCCGCCCGAACATCACCGGCCCCGGGCCGGTTCCTACCGCGCACAGCGGGACCCGACGAGCCCGCACCGACACCGGTCTCGATCTCGGTCTCGGTCTCAGTCCCGGCGGTCTCGATCTCGGTGGTCTCGGTCTCGGCCCCTCAGCCCTGCCGGGCTCCTCAGCCCCGCCCCNCGTAGGTGTCTGGGGAGTGGGGCAGCGCTGCTCTCCCTCTCCTTTCTTCTCCCTCTCCCCTTCTTCTTCTCTTCTTCCTCCTCTTCCTTCCCCTGTTCTCTTCCCTCTCTCCTCTCCCACCCCTCCCCTCACGGCAGCGGGTCGGTTCTCGCGGACTCCGCGGGGCGCCGTGAGGGGAGCGCTTCCACCGACGGGCTGCGGCTCCCGAGCGCGTTCCGTGAGGGGAAAAGTGCGCTCAGAGTGGGCCCAGGGAGGGGAGCAGCGGCTGGCGAGGGGTGGGATTTGTTTCCAAATAGAGACAGAGGCCGGGAAATGTTCGCAGTGGTGGTTCCTGGGGCAGCTCTGCGGGCGGGGCTGGCTGGGCGGTGCTGCTGGGGGTGGTATCTCCGTATTCTGCATTTCTCAGGGGTCGGCTCTGCTCAGAGGTGCCCAGCGACAGGGCGGGCAGCAATGACCGTAAACTGAAACACAACGAGTTCCACCTCAGCATCAAGAACAACTCCTGTGCCCTGGGGGTGGCAGAGCTGTGGAGCAGCTGCCCGGGGAGGCCGTGGAGTCTCCCTCTCTCCCTCTCTGGAGACATTGCAAAGCCTGTGTCACCTGCTCCGGGTGACCCTGCCTTGGCGACGGGGCTTGGACTGGATGATCTCCAGAGATCCCTTCCAGTCCGTTGTTCTAATTCTATACCTCTCTACATACCATGGATAACACCCGTGGGGCTGTGTGGGAAAGGGGCAAGAAGGATGACAAGATGGTTCAGCTTGGATGGAACCGCAGTGGGTCATCCCGTCCAGCATTCCCAAGGAGGCACAGCCCCTGCACATGGCCCAGGCTGGCATCCAGGCAGTTCTGGAATATCTGCAGTGAGGGAGACTCCACAACTGGACAACCTGTTCCAGTGCTGAGTCACTGCACAGGAAAGAAGTCATATCCAGGTGGAACCTCCTGGGCATCATTTTCTACCCACTGCATCTTGTCCCATTGCTGGGCACCACCAGACAGAGCCCAGCTCCATCCTCTGACCCCTCCCTTGGCCAGCGCTGAAGGGATTGGCAAAAAAAAGCAGGTTTTGATATGAATTTGTGAAACTGTAGCTTCAACAGAGTTTGATGGCAAGGTTCACTCTATTGCTCGCTACACAGACGGAGGGAGCGTACACAGGAAAATGGGATTAGAATCAATTTAGAATGATTTACACGGAGACCAGGGGGATGCAAAAGGGTCACGGGGACAAGGATATGGATACAAAAGATACAGGTGCAAAAGAGTTTAGCAGCACTTAATCACTGACTGATTTAATATTTATAAAGTGATTCAACAGGATTTACTGCAATTACAGCAGTGACTAAATTATAGATTCACACACACTCAGATACAGAGATGTGGGAAGGAATTGCAGGCCTGTGGAGATCAGGGCATGACACCCTCCATGCCCATTTTCCATCACGCTGTATCTCTTCCTTTTGTCTCCAGTGGGAATAAATCCTGCTCATTTTTCTCCTATATTTTGCAATGTATCAAGCAGTAAGTAATGAATCAAGTCATGTAAGTCTGCTGCTGCTCTCGTGTATCTCTGCTCATCTTGGGCTTCTGGAGATAAGTAAAGGAAGTTCTTTAACCTGGTAAATATTAGGCACAAAATAGTGCCTGCAGGTTGTACAACTGGCTGTAAACGTGTGCCATCATCATGGTTAAGAAATTTATTAAGCCTTTTCAGGCTAATTCAGGGCTAGGAAACTCAGGTGAAATACTCTCACCACATGTGCCTCATCTTTCTGTCTCATTTTCTTGTTCCACTCTGACATTTGGTTTAACACCACAGTCAAAGTGAGCCATATTAAAAAAAATAAACCAAATTAAAAGTGGTGCTCTCTGTGTTGTTTCCTAAAATACTTTTCTTTACACATAGTGTTTTTTCACCACATTCTTCTTTTGTAAGATCTGAGAGGTGACAGTTTGGCCAACAGGGTTTTCATGTGAGGTGTCAGGATAAATTTGGTTTCAGGGGTCCAAGCCAGGGTCTGTGTGTAGACTTAGAGCATAAATTTTCAGTAATTCTGATTTAACTTCTCACATTATGGCACTGAAAAGACGATCAGTAAAAACAAGCCCCCAAGCAAGCCAGGCTGTTGGGTACCACCAGGCAAGGTGGTACCTCCTAAAGCTAAAATTCTGTCTTTCAGTACAATATTCCAGCTCTTTCCAATGTTGAAGAGCTTGGAATGAGGCTCCATCTCTTCTCCCATAGTTCAGGATGCTTGCAGAGAGGAATTTGGGCTGTATGCTGCTCTGTTGCTGTACACAACATTTGACAGACTTCAAAGAATGTGGCTTTGATCAGTGCACAACTTTCCCCCTAAGAAATCCTCTCAGTGTTTATAATTTAGCAGGATTTTCATGTGGTTTCTCATTTATTTCATCCTACAGCTGTGATCCTGATCCTGCTTTCATTTGGCTTTCAGCTCCTTTTGACATCTGTCATAAAAACTTCCATCAGAACATGCCTTAGTGTAACATGCAAATGCATTGGCCCCCAGAGCATCCTTGCAGTGTGGATGCATTAATAAATGGAATATTTCTCTGCTGCCATGAGCTGGAAGCTGTAATGGAGTCCGGATTCCTTGAGCTATATGGGATTCTCTTTAAAAAAGAAATACATTGTAAAGAATTCCATCAAACTGTTACAGCTTGGGCTGCCCTTTGGCCAGAATTTCAGAGGCTTTTTTAATTTAAATGTTACCTGTTTACTTGGCTTTTTTAGATAGGATATTTCTTTTCCCCTTCTTGTAATAGAGATAGCTGTAAAACAGTTTTCATATAAGACCCTTGACTGAGTTACATATCAAAGATGTGTATCCATTCTATTTTCCCAATCCTTTAATTTACAGTTTTGGAATAGCAACATAAATTTGAAAAGGATATGTTTGGAATGAGGTCATCTAAATTCCTTACAAGGCAAAACATTCTTTTTCTAAGATGAAAACTGAACTAAGTTCTTGAAATATGATGTATATTCCAAACCTTGTTTAATTCAGTGTAATATATATGTTTCTTGGGAACTGTTCTTACAAAGATTTTTTTTTTCCCTCATTGTTTTACATCATGCTTTAAACTATTGTTAAGATTTAGGAACGTGCTTAAAAAGTTTCGGTTGTCTCTGGGAAAAATAGTCTTAATTTATGTTGACCTTTCTTTCCTTGGAGCATTTTGCCTGCATTCAATAAAATTTTGATGACTGCTCTTTAGCAGACAGCTGTACCATATAAAGTATTATAAATATTCAGCTTTCTTCTTCCAGTGTTGCCATTAACAGCTGGGCATCCAGTTCAGAGGAGCAGATTTTGCAGAGAGAGCTTGGCATGTTCCTGAATCAGGAGAGGGAAGAAGGGAAGCAAACAGTTTCTTATGGTTTGGGGACCTGTAAAGACATAGAGCATCTGTTCCCCAGTTAAGTCATAGTCTGGTAGCACTGAATCATGTTAAGAGCTAAAATGATGAGGAAAACTACTTTTTTCACCTTGCCTGTACCTGTGTCTTAAATGTCTTAAACATTATTTCGACTAATGGCAAAATAATTCCAAGCCTTGCTCAGAAGGTATGTAAATGGAAATGCTTTGAGGGGGGTTTTGTTGTTTATAGTCTTGGAGAAAAGATAAATACTCAGCATGATTTTACTTCAGTGCCTTGATTTTATCTCTGGTATAAAATGGAGAATCAGATTTCCTTAGGCAAACACTTTATCCTTCTAAACAAGCAACATTCTTCGTCCAGGGAATGGATTTGCTTTGGATGCCATCAGTAAATATGAAACCAGAAAAGAAAACTATCTTTAACATTATCAATTATTGACCTTACTAATAGAAATCTTTGTGTTTACATGACCATAAAACCTGTCCCTATTTTTCTCTTGCAGGGTTAAGAGAGCATTAAATTTGGACATGGTTAGAAAAGATGATGTAAGTATTTTTTTGGTGTCTGGAGCCATCTGGGCTGTATAAATATATATGTATATATATCTGTGTGCAAAAATAAATGTGGGTATAAACAGTGTATTTCATTTTAGCTGCCTTTATGTTGTTACAGATTGGATGTTGTCTGGGCAAACCTTAAAGCACAAAATTACTGCTGCAAATATTAGTATAAAATTGATTGTATTTCATTTGTCACAGAACTGCCTGGCGTTAAGTAATGTACATCTGCATGAATCACTTGAAAAATGTGCATATTGTTATTGCCATCACTATTTACCCAAGAGCTGAATGAGTTAAGATCCTTGGTGAAATCATTTATTAGAAATTAGCTCCATTATCCTGGGAAGCAAACGTTCTGCCATGTAATTGTACATGTGACAATATGGAATTATGATAATGCTGTAATCTGCATATTAGAAACGGCAAAATTGAAATGAAAACATTAAAGGCATGTTCATGTCAGGGCTGTAATTACCTCCCTCAGCTAATCTGGCATAATGAAACAATAAACTCCTAACGCTGCCATCAATTTCACCGCAGTTATCACAATAAAAATAAAATTGTACTGGTGCTGTTGTTTGTTGTAAATGCAGCTCCAGCATCCTCCCAGCCACCAGCATGTCGTGACATATGTCAGTTTATTCTCTCCCACAGTGGCTGTTGCTGCAGCCAGCAGTGCACAGGAGCTGGGGAGGATGGCAGGGTGGAAAGGAAGGAAGATTTTGGAAAAGTACAGAGAGAAAGAACTGGTCAGCAAAACGAGCTCCCAATAAATCTCCAAGCCTGGGTCGTTTGGAAGAGGTTTCTGTATATGCAGCACATATTTGGAGGCCTCACTGGTATTGAGCAAGGTAGAAATTGGCCATTTAAAAAATTTCTAGATACTTATTTTTTTAAAACTTCAACAGAGGTGGCAAAACACCACAGTGGCATTAAAGCAAAATCATTAGCAGTTTAATTAGCAGCTTAGTGTACCATTACCCAACTTGTTCTTCTCAGAATGCAGCTGTGACTGTAATTTTGCATCTGTTTCTTGGGCTGAAGTAACATTTTTGTAGACAAGTGGTCCAGCTGAAATTCCAGGGAATGCTTTTCCTCCCCTAAAGCCATCCCTTCCCACGAGATAAAAAGAGTTACTCAATGCTTACCTGCAGTCAGGTTCTTGTGCAGCAAAAAGCTGAAGAAAAGCCCATCTGAATATTGAAACATTTAGTGGAGGCTCAGTGATGTGGCTTTGCACTGATTTTTAGTTCATACAATGTCTCTAATAGATGCATGTCAAAGATTTAAATTAAATTACTTTATAGAAGGAAAGAAGGAACAGAAAGTAGTAAACTCATAGTTTGGGTGAAATATGTGTTTAATCTTTGCTGTTGAATCCTTCCCTGTTTTTATCAAGAGTTCCTCATTCCATGGATCAAAATATTCATGAGCTAAGCATATCAGGAATGCGTATTTTTAGCTTTTTGGCATCTTACTGTGGTATTGTTAAAAAATTGCATAACTGGAGTAAAATTCTTCTTCCTGGAAGAGAAAATCTTACTGACAAATAAAAACTGTCCTTGTAAGTGCTGCAGGAATTTTGTTTAACGTAACCTTATCTGTATCCAGAAATGGGTGAGGTGAATGCTGTTCAAGCAGGAAAAATAGTCTGAAAGGTTTGGAGATTCTCCCTGTTGAAAAGGAGATTAGATGACATATTAACCCCTAAATTTGCATTGATACTACAATTAATATTTCATTTAAAGATGATTGGAAACATTTCTTTAACCTGCTTGAATGTGGCAAGCGAGAGTGAGGGTTTCCATCAGGCCTAGTTTAAGAGCGTAAATGAGAGGTGTGAAATTATTTAAGGTATTTGAGACTAAAACAAGGTAGAGGCAAGTGGGCAGCAAATTAAATCTTTAAAATCTGCTGTAAATCCCGCTACTGTGACCAGCAATAACACTCTTGTGGGTTGTAGAGTAAAAGTTTGGGTGTTTTTTTTATTATTTCTGTACATGAAATGTGCAGAAAATCCCAGTTCCTCATCCTTGCAATTCAGCATCCATGCTAGAGCATGTCCCAGATAATCCCAGTTCATATTCCAGCATTGCAGAATTCTTCTGAAAACTGCACAAATTCTTCAACACCATTAAATAATTCTTCTTACATCATTAGACATATTGAAACCCTGAACCACAGACAAAATTTTGGATTTAAGAGACTCACTTTGGATTTTTTAAATTATCACTTGTTTAAAAAAATTTTTAGAAATAACTTTTGGTACAATTCAAATCTAAAAATATTTGTGTCTTAAATTCTCATTACTGGAAGAAAAATAAAAACTCAGTTTGACTGCTCTAAAAAAAACCCAACCATCGAGATGATCATGCCAGAATACCTAAATCCCTGGAAAACACATACTTTTTCTTTATGGAAACTGGGAGACAAAGTGTTTGAAAGGATTTTTTCTCTTTTAGAGTCTAATTTTATTGAGGAGAGGGAGTGACAGAGAAGCTCAATGAACACAAAGTCACCCCACCACAGCATTTAACATGGGCTTTCCATAATGGGAATACATAAAGCCAGGAATTACTTAGGAATATCTTAGGTAGTAAAAGTTCAGAGAGGTTTTGTCAATATTCATTATTCATCTGGATGATTTTTGTACTTTTCTCTGTTTCAGGCACCTGATGCAACCCCCCAGAAGGCCAAAAGGAACAATCTGAGCTCCTTCTCCCCCACCACAGGCACTCGCCAGATCAGCCCCTTCTCCTCTCCCACCAACCACGGGGCAGAAAATCCCAGGAATGACCCAGCAGAGGGTGAGCTGAGCATTCCATCTTTCCATTTTCCTGGTTTTTGGCTGGATTTAGGGACTTCTCTCCCATCTGCTATGTTTGATTTCTTTTTCCTCTTGAAGAATCTCTTCTGGAAAAGCCAATGTTAGGTCTTAAAGCTTGAATTTTTTTCAGAGTAAAGCTTGGGGGTGTTTCTAAAACAACTGAGTGAAAGAATTTTTAATTAACATAGCACTGACTGTCAGCAGCTCTCAGAAAATACACCTTTGTAAGATTATAATTGTATTATTTCCAGTTCACTTTAGGATAAATGTTCACTTAATTACACAGTCACAGTTTTTGACTCTGACTACTCAAGAAGCAGATTTTCAGTAGGCTGAGCTGCTTTTATGACTGTATTAAAAATATTGTGGTTGTGGCCTCTAAGTGTTAAGGAACCCTGTGTTCAAGCATTTAACTCTTTAAGTGTTAAGATCACCTGCTGTAACTTTTTTATTTTAAAAAGAAGAATACAGAGGGACCTTTTGTCATCTTTCCCTGTAGAGCTTTTATTTCCTTGCAGTACAACTCCTAGAAAAGATATTATTATAATAATAATAATAATAATAATAATAATAATAATAATAATAATAATAATAAATGCATCACTTTCCTTGCTAGCAAATTCCTTGTTCAATGATTTTAGTTATTAAGAAAAAATCCCCTGTCTGATTTTGAATTTGGCTACAAAATGGTGCTGTGTAATATTTAAATTCCAGGTTGTCCATTTAAATTTCTGCTCCTAAAAATCCAGAATACTGATCTAAAAGTATGACCTCTTTGATAATTGATGACTGATTTAAGTCCAAGTTCTATTGACTACTTAGATTTAAAATGAAATCTTTGAGGGTCTTGACTTTTAGCTACTGTATCATAAAGCTTAAACTTTTATAGCACTTTGTCATTCTGAAGTGTTTCTAAATGTTTTACAAAATATTAAAATTAAAAGTTAATTTATCCTTGAGTGCTGAGACTTGTATGTAATAATTTAGATCTAACAAGAAGAAATCAAAGTGTTTAATGCTGAGTGTGGTCTCTTTTTTTTTAGTCTGATGGCAGGAAGGAGATTTATTACACTGAAATGTGGAAAGCTCCTCATTGCACAGGGTCTGTCTGAGATCTGTACATTTGTTAAGCCCATGGTAAATTCCAAATCTTTCACTTAAAGGTGAATTTACAAAATCCCCACGTTTTGTGATGTCTTCAAATTCAGGCACAATTAAATCATTCCTGATAGTCAGGTGTGACTTTTTTATTGCTGGAATAAGTATTGATAGACAAGCTAAAATTTTAATCTGGTTTTGTTCTGACCTGATTCCTGTGGGAATTGAAGAAATCATGTAAATTCAGGGTGTCTTTTGTGGTCAGAGGTCATATTTATCCTGCCCCATCCATCATATGCCAGACTGGAATATTATATTGTCAGTAGAGCCCATTTGGAGCCTTTGGAAGCAATTCCCAGTATCTTTGTGGTTGTTTAGAAAATGGACTTGGAGCCAGGCAGTTTTTATAAAGGGAAATGGGAATTTCATAGCTCAATCATCCCAGCATTTTCAGGATAATGCTCGATGTTAATCTGCAGTTAATAGGATAAAAAACTCCTGAAAGGACACAGTAAATATCTGCCAGGATGATTCCAACTTCCAGATATTAATGCTGTAATCCCAAGGTTTCCAGAAACTGAGGAGAGGTCAAATTCCCAAAGTGTAAATTGGAATTTAGTGTGGTCTGTTCCAAATCCTGCTTTCTGAGTGAGCTTTGGGGTTTTTCCTCTTCCCAAAAAATCGTTCAGCACTCAAAGTTCACACTAACACCTTCTTCAGCTACTTCAAATACTCCACATCTGATTTTTATCTTTATTGTGTCTCTTCTTCCTTGTGACCCTCCGAGGAGATGGGAATGAGCAGAAAGATTCCAGGAGTGGATTATCCAGGAGAGGGCAGCCTCAAACAAAGCACGATGCGTAAGTGGATTCAGTTTGAAGTTTCTTATGGCTGCAGGGCTGTGATTGCATCTCTTTTTCACCAGCAGACAATAATTGTGATGTTTATTCACCTAAATACTATGCTTGAAGTTGTAGCTCTTCCTTTTCATTACTGTACTTGAACTCACAATTTGTTTCCTGGGGTTTTTGCCTGGATGTTTTGCCACATCATTAGGCTGAAATTCCTTCAGTGTAGGATAGAGTCTTCCAAGTGATGGAGCTGGACAGAATAGTTTGGGTAACATTTAAACAGCAGAAAATAAAATATTAACATTATACAGATGTAAAACTGTAAATTGATTAATTGGGGGTTTTTTTGTGATTCAGTGAATCCCTTGGTCAACACATCCAGCCTCATTTCTTAGTGACAGGAACCTGGAATTACAGAACAATTGGAGTAATTAGAGGCCTCATTGACATGGAAATGTTTGCATTCAATAATTCAGAATGTTTTTAAAAGGCTTGCAGGAGACCTGCAGTGACATTCAAATAAAAACATGTCTAAACCAACACCTACACTTAATATTCATGTGAACTTCCATACACTCAATTTTACAGATGAAAATCCATTGGCCAGGACACTGATTTAAATCCTCACAGCTGAACTGGATCCATCCCCATTCCAATGAGAAAAAACTCTGACAAACATTGCAAACATGGATTTTTCAGTGAGTGGGGATGTGGATAACTGGAATTGTTTTACCTTTTTTACACAGGTTCCTTCAACTGCAGTCCCAAGTGAGAAATTCCTTGCCCAGAATCCTGAAACTAAGAGCAAATCTGACAAGCCTGAAGGTCTGGTTTACACTGATTTGTCTTTTGAGCTACCACTAATATAGGATTTGAAAGCAAAATTAGGATTTTATATGCAAGATTTGAGTTTGAAGGGGTAGGGAAACAAATAAAAGACTTGAAACCAGCCAAGCTGGACTTGGAAATCCAGAAAATGCAAAAAACCTCAAAATTTATTGGATTTTTTTAAACTAGAAGAGTTGCTTTTCCATGTCCTCCGTTTTTAATTTGTACACAAATAAAACCAATATGAAGCAGTTTTCAATTATTATTTATAACTCAAAATATGAATTAACTGCATAGATTTTTATGTCTTTGAAGATTAAACATCCTTTTGTGTTGAAGTGATTGTACCATTTAATTTGCCACTAAAGTATCATTATTTAATAGTCCAATACATGTTAAAATGCAAATCACTGTTCTCTTTTATTCCCATTTTGTTTCCTGACTAAATTTAGCACAATGTTCATTGCTGTACATCAATAGCTGAGAAATAATTCAGTGTACTCAGAGGACTGTGCTGATTTATTTCACGTGGACAAGGTTTTATTAAAATAAAAAACAAACAAAACAACGAACAGTGATACTAATTGAAAATATTTTAATTGCAATGTTTATTTAAAAAAGGAAGAATTTCAAACTTATGAATAATTTCCAAATTGGTTTTGGTATGTTGTAGACATGGTGTTGATAGTGAGAATGGGATTTAACAATGACTTTAATTGTTATTTTCCAGGCTTTGGAGGGCAGTAGAGAGCTGGAAAATATCCTCGGAGTCTCACAGTCGTCCTGTGTCCTGAGTGCTGAACTGCAGAAAACCCAAGCGCTGGGTGAGGAGAGGCTTCAGTACATTCATTTATCCCTTTGGAACATTTACCAGGGATCACTCCCTCCGGTACTCCCCAGGACTCAGGAAAAATGCACCTCAAGTGTCCCTGTGCATCCAGCCAGGGAGGGACATAAAAGCCAGGCACACTGGGGAGGGAAAACCTGGAAAAGCAACACCTTTTCTCATGGAAATGGTCAGTAAATAGTTAGATACTTAGTGGGTAGTTAGGTGAGGATTAGGATAAACGTTTGCACTTGGATTGCTTGGCCTTTCTTCTCTCCTTCCGAGGAAGTTGGTTTGTTTGTTTGTTTGCCTGGCTGCAGGATTAGGCTGAATATAAATTTCCAGGCTTTAAAAATCGCTATTCATGTGTCTTGAAATGATGGACGTTCCAGATGCTTGTTGTGTTGGGATAAGGGCACTTCACAGCTGCCACATCTGGAATACTTTTCCAGAGGAACCCAGAAAGCAAACCTGGAGTGCCTGGACTGCTGCTTTTTGCAGTTGGGAACAGGTGGACAGTAAAGCCACGGGTACCAGGGAAATTTTCTTCCCAAACAGTGGAATCGATGCATCACATGCTGGTATTTAAATTACCATTTCTTCCCTGACCTGTATTCCAAATCTCATTCCATTTTCCTTCTGCATGGACATGCACTGCTCTGTTCCCACTGTAATGCCAGATCCTTCCTGAGACAGGATGGAGTTACCTGGGAACAGTCTGGGTTTCCATCGGGGTGGGACAGACAGACAGACAGCCTAAAGGACAGCTCAGACCTCTTGCTGCCACTCCTGGGTCCACTCTTCCCCTCAGCTCCTTGGGAAAGCAACATCTTTCCCCCATTTCTGAAGTAGGAACCACCTCAGCGCCAGAAGAAAGAAAAATAGGAACAAAATGTGGGATGAAGCTTGGAAACACAACTTGTCAGAATTCACTGAATTTTGACATTTTTTGGTAATTTTTTTGAGCACAGTTACATAGGCAAGAGGGTTTTTTCTTCCTTGAAATGCTTTGAAAGTGAAGGAGGCAGCAGAGGTATTATTTTCTTTGAAAGCTCTGGGGCAACATTTGTTGATTTTGGATTTATTTCCTCACTAGTGAGTCAAGCAGAAAAACTGCAGCTGTTGAAAGCAAACCATGGAAAAGTCCCTGCCCGAGGTAAGAAACTCTTCATGACTCCTGTATAACAAATGTTTTGATTCCTTTTGCTTGATTTCTTTTCAGTTCTTTTCACTTGAAATAAGTTGGGTAACCTTTAGGATATGGAAACAGTGATAATCAAATGTGTTTCTTCTGAATAGTCTGCAAATGTAAATTGAATATTTGATGCTATTTTCATTGTATTGGATATTTCTCCATACAAGGAGAAGGAATCATTCATGGCCTTGCACTTGTGGCATGGTCCAGAAGACTTTCCATACTTTTTGTATATCCCAATTATCCTTGTTCTTCCTCATTCTCCTCCCTCCCACTGTGTTTTCAGTATCAGTCTTGCAGAAAAACCTTTCCGACTCTGTATTTTTTGGGGGATATTTCACCCATTCCAGAGGGCTTGGAAATCCCAGCTCTGAGGTTTCTTCATAACCAGTGCTGTGAACATATTTGGAGCTGGTGATGTTTCATCCCCAGCTGCTTTGGTGCCTTGGCAGGAAGGAAGGGGACACACAGAGGACAGTTTAATTCCCTCACACTCAGTAAAATCAACAACCATCCTCCAGGGTATTCTGATATTTCTGTTATCTTCACACTTCAAATCTGAGAGCAGAACAAACCCAAAATCAGGAGCAGTGGTGGCATCTCTGCTGTGGGGAATTCTCTTAAAGGACAGAAAATTGATCAAGCTTAGATTTGCTGGGCCGCAGCAGATGAGCAGCAAATGGAAAGGAGTGACAGCACTTTGGAAGGAATTGGGCTGATTTGTGCAGTGTGCAGGTGGTGATTTACAGCTCCCTGTGTCCTCCTGCCGCAGCTCCTGCCTGCCTGGGCTGGCACTGGCAAACAGCCGCTGCTTCCTTTGTGCTCTGCTCCTTCCTGCTCACCACACACACATTGAGAGCTCCATCCCTGCTCCAGAAAGCAGCCCCCAGCACCAAACACACAGCCAGGCTGCTTAGATGAGAGATATTTTGTGAAGGTAGGGTGGAAAAGACAATTCTGAGTTGAACCTCTGCGATTTTGATTAAGTTCCAATGTCAGTTTTGCTTTCACAAAGAATAAATTCAATTTTGCAGTCTTGAAAATGTGGTAGCAGGAGAGGAAGAGAACTTTGTGATCAAAGAGAAGCATCTGGAGATGTTTTTCTTTGCCTTTTAGTTTCAGACGCGGGTTTTTCATAATTATTTTTAATTAGTTATGGCAAGGCTTAAAACTTATGACTGTTCTGTGGCTTGGTCCAGATGGAATGTCACATTATCATCACATGGTGAGGCATGAAATTTATTTACTTTACATAAAAAACCTCCTCTTAAAACAAGTTCATACAAAACATTCCTGGCTCAATGGGCAGCATTGTGCAGAGCTCAGTTTATCATTTTGGGTGACCAGCATGGAAAAAGAGCATCATTGTTTGCCCATGACTTGAATTTACAGTAAACAAAATATTTTTGAATATAAAGTAAGCAAATTGTAAAACAACTGCCAAGAGATGAATCAAGTCAGTGGCTGGGAGTCCAAAATGTGCTGAGAAGGGATGTGTAGGTTGGGATGTGCATGTTTTAAAGGAAAATTTCACAGGTTTGGAGATTCCAGGAGTGAAGGTTCTAAAAGGGGAAGCTGCTCCAGCTGGACACTTTGCTTCCCCAAAACACTGACACAAACCATGGCTGCTGCCCATGGGAGTGTTCCAGAGATCAAATACTTGCAGTGGTGTGGAAAACTCTTTTCAGGCTGTGATGAAATAAAAACCACTCCCTTTTCTGTGGGGATGTTCATCCTGCTGAGCCCAGGGGCAAATCTGATCCTCTCGGAGTTTTGAACATTCCCAGCTTTCATGGTGGAATGAACATAAGTGGCTGAGGTTTGTGCTCTGAGACAGTAGTGGTGGCTTTCCAAGAGACTGGATCAGGGTTAACTGCATGGATTTTATTCCATGCCACTTGAAATCACTGATGAAAGCAAAGCTGGAGAGATCATGGACCAAAGCTGAGTTTCTACCTGCCAGTCCAGTTTTGAAAACTGCATTTATGGTAAAATATAAATCCCATTTCACGACCACTACAAAATAGAAACACCTCCTTAATAATCAGAGCTCCTCCTCAAACCAAGTAAAAAGGTAAAAATACAGAATTCCACCATTTATCCCACTTTGTGTCAGTTTGAGTTCAGAATTTGGGTGTCCCAAGACTAAACCACTTGGCTGTGGTTGGTGCTGGGTGTTTATTTTTCACATCATTCTCAAATAAGTGTAACAAATTTGTCGGCCTTTAGATGTACCTGGGTGTCTGCCCCACCTTTCCTTCCTCCTCCTTGGAGATCTTCTGAGGAAAAGGGGAATACAGCAGTGGATTTTTCCAGCTGTCAAACTCTAACCTAAAAACCTCATTTATTTTCCTCAACCCAACTTTGTATTTATTTACAGGGAAGAAATGCCATTATCCCTTTGCTGGGAAAAGTGAGTCTGGGAATTGGCTGGGCAAAAATTCTAGCACTGGAGGGATCTGACGTTGTTCCCTGTGGAAGAATATCCCTGTTTGTGCTCCTGAGGGTTTCCTACCATCACACCTGGGCCAGGGCTGATCTCAGCTCCTCACTGAGTGGGGATTGCCCAGTTTGTGTCCTGGGATGAAAAGCTGTTGTTGCTCAGGCTAAATCTGAACTCAGGTCTCCTCATTCTGTTGCTTTGAGGTTGTGGCTGTGTGAGTCCCTCGCAGTGGAGGGGAGGGAACAGATCCCACTCAGCCCAGTGTTCCCAGCCTGCTTTTCCCAGCACAGGTGAGGAATCCCAGGAGCTGGGGGAGCCTCCCACTGCTCCTTCCCAGCAGGATTTGGGGCTCTTGGGTTGTACCCACACCTGAATTTTACAAACAGCCTCAGACTGAAGGAGTCTGGGGTCTGGGTGCAGCAGCACGAGGAGTTCTGGGATGGAAGGAAGGAGAAGGGGCAGCTCCAAGGCTCTGCAGTGATGGAACACCCTGGGCTATGCAGATGAAATATTAAGCCATTAACTGCAGTGGCAGATCCAGAAATGCACATGAGACATATGACTGGAGGCCCCAGACAAGTACACAGAGAACTGTCAACCTGCATTTTAGATTTAGGTGCCAGCCCCATTTATTCACAGATTTCACCCTTGTTTTTACACTCTATTTTCCTACGTGCCTTTTTAGAGATGCAACAGCTATGAATTTTTAATTCTGGTGGATCTAGTTTAGAGTATTAAGCTTAATGAAAAATTCAAAAGAATTGTAGTTCTTCCAACATGTAGCAACTCCTACATGAGAATAAATACTGCTTTCTCCCATGAATATAATTATTTTAAATAAAAAAGAAAAGAAACATTAGTTTGGACTCACTTAGTAGCAATTATATGTTTAAGAGGTGTAAATAACTTGCTATCCAGACATTACAAATATCCAGGTGCTCTGTATGTGCTGATGACAACAAAATTGAAAAGAAAGACTGTAATAATTCTGACTGGTTTTCTCTGCAGAAGATATTGATTATTTGTGTGTGGTGAGAGATTTGGAAAATTCAATTAAAGGAGTTGTGCAAAGGTTTCATAAATTTCCCCAGTACAGCGTGTACACAGACATTGCTGCGTATTAAATCAATGCAGCACTTCACAATATATTTTCTTTGAAACATAAAAATAAATAACATTTAAACAGTTCTGCTTACTACAGAAACAAATTTTATTTTCTGTGAAGCATTTAGTCATGTGCTATCACTGACTCATACACATTTGCCAGCTGTAACAAATTTTATAGACGTTTTCTCCAGAGACATAGCTCATATACTATGAATTTTTAAATGAGCAAATGGTGAAGAAGGGATGTCAGCAATATAAAAATTGATCAGTTAAAAGATAAAAGCATAAGTAAAGAGATTTGTATGGTAGTCTTAATAGGTTTTATTAAATAAAAATACTATAAAAAGACAGTAATGAATAGACTGAAGGTTTTAACTGTGGTTGAGGTGGAGAAAAATTATTCTGGCACATTTAGTAGAAGATTGGTTTTATATCACCTGACAGGTGAACATTTTTTTTCTCTGTTTTTTAGATCTGTAAATGTTTTAGAGCAGTCAAAGTTGGGAGAGGATGGTTGGGGGTATTTGGAGGGGAAAGGAGACTTGGAAGATTGAGCCCTTGTAGTGCCTGTGTGGGCCAGGGCTGGGAGAGGCTCTGCCAACCCTCTGGAGCAGGTCTGGGGGGCTCCAGCCACTGCTGGCCCTGGGAACCCTAAAATTGGAGCTGAGGAGAGGAACAGGCTGGACCTGTCCCAGCCACCCCTTCTGCCACAGCCCAGGCACCTTCTGGTCCCCTCCCCTGAGCCCTCTTCCAGCTGCCATCCTCATCCAGGAGTTCCCTGAATGTTCTCTTTGGTTTGATGGAGCTGAACTTACTCGGGAGCTCTGCAGGGAAAAATCCTGAGAGAGAGAGAAGGGTTGTAGGGGCTTTTGTGAACATCTCACTCAGAGGTGAGGCAGGGCTGGATGGGATCTTGGGCAGGAATTGTTCCCTGGCAGGGTGGGCAGGCCCTGGGATAGAATTCCCAGAGCAGCTGGGGCTGCCCCTGGATCTCTGGCAGTGCCCAAGGCCAGGCTGGAACACCCTGGGATAGTGGGAGGCGTCCCTGGGGTGTGACTGTGTGGGCTTTAAAGTCCCTTCACAACCCAAACCTTTCCATGATTCTTTGCATGGAAAACAAAGCTGAGTCTGGTATTTTTTGTGAATCTGGGCAGCTTCTGCTTTTTAGGGTGCTGGGCAGAGCTCAGCACAGTGGTCTTGGCATGTTTGGGTTCTTTACTTAGCATCTACTCCAATGCTGCAGTCCCTGAAAGGGAAATCAGTCCTTTCCTTTATGGAATTGCCTTCAGCACAAATAAACCAGCTTGTAATTGAATCTTTTTCCTGTTACTTGCCATACAAGATTGGACAGTTTCCTGTTGTGATAATTTGTGTAAACAAATGATGTCTATTAGGATTAAAGCTAGAAAGTGGTACCTGAGGCCAAGCTGGATTGGATTCCTTTTTCTGGAGTAACCTTGTGAGTCCTGGTTTAGGTCTGGGCTCGGTCTGGCTCAGCTCCAGGTGACGCTGCCCAGCCCAGGGGCAGGTGTTGGTGTGGAGTCACTCCCTGCAGTGTGAGATCCCCATGGAATCACTGAGTGCCGTGTGGGGAGAGCTGGGGAGGCCCTGTCCCAGCAGCCCCGTGTCTGTGGGGTTTGGAGCCCTCCCCAGCTGGGTTTGTGTGCAGCTGAGAGGCTCCAGCTGCTGGAAATCCCCCTTTGTATGGTCAATATCATTCTGTATTCTCCCTTCAGCCCCTCAGGGTGCTGGAGCGGAGCTGCTCATCTGCTGCAGGACATTTGGCAGCCCTGGCACTCGCATGCACCTGCTCCCAGACCCTTCCCCACACGTTCTCATTCCCTGAGTTCCTTTCTGCCCTTGCACACTTTTCCTTTGCTTCTCCCAGCCACCTGCTCACCCTCCCCCAGCCCTGCCTGGCTGCGGGCTCAGGTGTGGGAGATCCAGGGTGACTGTGAGTGATCCAGGCATGGCTATGGGTGATCCAGGGATGGCTGTGAGTGATCCAGGGTGACTGTGAGTGATCCAGGGTGACTGTGAGTGATCCAGGGATGGCTCTGAGTGATCCAGGGGTGGCTGTTCCTCTGCTGCAATCCCTGGTTGGGCCCTGCTGGCACAGTCCTTGGGGATTCATATTTATTGTTTTATTATTAATAGCAAAAAGCAGCACCAGTTTCTGGTACTGGTAGCACAGTAAGTTCTGCTTTGGAATCACTGCCAATGATGTAACACAGGTGCAGCCACTCACCAGGAAAAGAGGTGCTGGGCTCTTTAACCATAACAGCAGCTTATTTAACTCATGTTTGAGGCAGGATTTGCACAAGTTCTGTCATCACACCACTGTTGTTTATCATATAAACATACATTTCTGTGTTTTCCTCATTGCCAGGGCACATCCAGGCTGCTGGGAGTTCTGCATTCCTGACCTCACTCCTGGAGAGAAGGAAGGAGCCCCTGGGCCTGCTGCCAGCCTTGTGCAGCACCGAGGCACAGCCAGAGTGACCAGAGCAGGGTGCTTCTTGTAAGCCACTCTGGGATGTCCTGCAGCCTGCAAGGGCCTGAGGGCACTCAGTTGTTCCTGTGCACATGGGATTTGTTCCTGGTTTGTTGGTGACAAAGAAACTCTAGAAACTGCTCCCCTACCAAAACATTCTGTGCTGTTTCTCATCTTGTTGCTGCTTTGGTTACTTGTCCTTGTTCCATAAAACATCCCAAAATGTTCCTGCAGCCCTGGGCAGAGGGGCTGCTGCCCTGCCTTAGGCTCTGTGTGTTTTACTGGACATCACACCCATAACTCCAAGCAGATCCCATGAACGATGATGCTGCTGTCTAATTGCTATTTATTTTAGTCATTCCTCATCTCCCCACAGGCATTATGTGAAAAATGCATTCCACATCAACCCAAACTTCTCCATCTGCTGGACTGGACTTAAAAGGAGTGAAGAACTGAGTGTAAACCAATCTCCCCAGCAAATCCCAGCTGGGGAGCGCTCGCTGCGCTGGGCAGGTGCACGTCCAGATAACATTTCTGGCATCTATTTCAACTTAACAATGTGCACAACCAGATAATCTCAATGTAAATAATCCACCCTGGGTGCTGCACAGCCCTGTGCCAGTGGGGCTGGTGCTGTGTGGAAATCAACTGGGGCTTCTGGAGGGAGCTCTGCAGTGCCAGGAATGAATTATTCCGACCCTGGATGTGTTTTGGTTGTTTGCAAATGCTTTCCCTGGTGGTGCTGCCACGGTTGGGAACAGATTTGTCATCCACATGAGGGCTCCTCTAAAGTCAACCCCAGCCCCAGGATAAAAAGGCCTCAGCCTCCAACCCAGCATTAACACACAGGGCTCTGGTAACATTTGCTTTTAGGTCAACATTGGAGTTTAGTTTTGGCATTTAATGCTGTAGGAGCAGAGTTATTTTATATAAACCAACTCTTTTTATAAAACAGCTGCTTTTCTTTTTCCTTCTCCTCAGCCTCACCCTTCCAGCCAAGTGAATTCCCTCAAATCGTTGTAATTAGGCTGCAAAAGTGCAGTAAAATTATTTGTTCTTATCAAAGTCCAGCACAAACACAAACACTTGAATGTCCTTTCTACCACTGCAAAGTCCCATCCTCAAATAAACTGATTTTTACAACTAAATTCTGAGCAGCAGCATGATGAATGTGTTCAGGGTGTGGCTGAACACACACACGCTCAAGCTTTGGGAGTTTTCAATTAATAAAAATGGTTTTGCACTTCACTGCCTGTGCAGTCAGACTGGGAAGAAGGTTTGGAAGTGTTTGAGGGAATTGTGTTCTCATTTCCCCCTGGTCTGTCAGGCTTTCAGCTGGGGGTTGTGTGTGTGTAGGGTGCCTCAGCCCTGGCTTTGGAGGTCAGAGTTTCTATAACCTGGCTGTAACCTCTGGAGCTGGAAATTAAACAGTTATGGATCAGAGAAGAGTCTGGAACCGACTGTGCCGGCCTAAATGGAGCAGTTCTGGGCAGTCCTGGAAGAACAGCATTGAGCTTGTACAGGAACCAAGAGCAAAGGTGCTGATGGACAGCGGTGAGGCACAGCAGAACCTCCCCCGTGGCATTCCTAAATCGGGTGTTTTTAGGGAGATGGAGTTGTCCATCCAGCTCCTGCTGCTCAGCCCCTCATCCACACCCAGCCTCTGAGCACCCTCTGACCTCCTGCTGTACCAGGCTTTTGCCTCGGCAGCAGCTGGGGCTGTTAAGAACCATTTCCAGTTCCACACAAGGTGGATCGGGTGACTCTCACTTTATCACCCCCCGAGGCCACCTCAAGGACAAAGGAAAGGGATAGACCCAAAACTAATGTTTGGGTATGGGGGAAGGATGGGCCCGGGCTCTGCTGGCCACAGGGCTGATGAGACCTGGGCTCCCACCTTCATTTCTCTGTCACACCTCACAGCCCTTCCTCAGGCTGCCAAGGACCAGGCAGGTTCCTGGGGGAAACACGGCGGGTTTGGGATTTCACAGCCTCTGGAGACAAAGATTCCCATTTTGTGTCCCGATACCCCTCAGCCTACACTTGCAGAAAGGCCGTGCTGAGAGCTCCAAATGCCACAGTTACGAGTGGGACACACAGAAAATCCTAAACCCTTGTGAAAAGATGGAAGTTTTGGTTTTTTATAGGGGACTGTTGCAGTGTAGGGAAACTGAATTGTTCTCACCCCCAATACCCTTCTGGTTCCTGCTCCAGAGCCCCTTTTCCATTCTCTCCGAGCTGCCAGGGGGGCACTGTTGCCTGGGGGTATTTTTTCCACAACAAATAAGCCTGGAAAAAGTGCACAAATACACGGAGCTGGTGGGACTCCAGTGCCAGGGCTCAGAAGTGGCCCAGCTGGAAGTTCCCAGAACAGCTGATTCACACACTGAGGCTGAGGGCAGTGACAGCCTGGAATGTGACAGGGGAAGCCTTTAAACAAGGGGAGGGGGGGGCTTCTTTTATATTTATATATAGATACAGAAAAAAAACTGGGTAGACTGACTCCTAATTAAACTATACGACCCTAAATTGCTTTATGATTTATTTTCTTCCTCCATGCTTTGTTATGTTTATAATTACTCAATCAATTTGTATTCTCAGAATTATTGGCTTTGGAGGCTGAGCTGTGCCCAGGGAGAAATTGCAGAGTTGAGTTCAGTTTACATCTGCAAATTGCTGTGCAATTTAATAAGGGGTTTGGGTATTTTCAAACTGCACTGCAGCACCTCAGCTTTTGTTGCAGCAGAACCAAAACTTTTGGCTTTTCAGTCCTGCTGAAGAGTTGCAGCAGTTTCAGAGCCACAGCAGAGCAAAGGGGGACAGTGACCGATGCCACAAACCAGGTGTGTGCCACAAAGCAACTCAGCACAACTTCAGTGCTGCCAAGCACGAGTTTCTACTTTACCTGCACTGCTTCCCTCTGCTTTTTATGCAGGGAAAGGAGAAAACTTCATGCTGCTCTTGCTAACAGAGTATTTTAGCATTAATTCAAAATTTGGTCCTTTATTAGGCATTTTAGGTTTACAAATGGTAACAAAAGTGTGACACTTCCCACAAAAACAAATCAAATCCCGTTCCCAATGCTCTTCAAAATATTTCTCCTTTAAAACAGTCTCTGATTGCTTTGTGTTTAAATAAGCAAAAGGTTTTTCCTGGCTTTCCTGGAGTTATGTCCATCACACACAGGTTCCTCTGCAGTGCTGGCACCTCTCAGTCCTGCAGCTTCAGCTTCATTAACTGATCTTCTTCTGCCCTCTATTCTTGGAGTCCCAGAGTATCACAACATTGAAATACACCAGGAAGAGCAGGAAGTGGAGGCAGGAAACAACGGCCACGGCCATGGGGAACAAATCGGGCAGGCGCTGGGGAGGAGGCACCGCAGCACTCAGCACTGACAGCGCTCCCATCAGGGCCAGGGACAGGAGGAACTGCAAGACAAGAACACCTCACACAGCTCAGCTGCCACTCCACTCCTGGGTGCTCTGCACTCCTCCTCACGGCACAAAAACGCGACAGCCCCCCCTGCACCGGTACCTCAGTGCTGGAAAAGCTGCAAGTAAGAGGTAAAGGAATAACATTTGCTTACCAGGCTCCTGACAATCCTGGGAAAGGACTTAAACCAGGACACGTAACCCTTGAGGGAAAGGGAAAAGGCCTTGAGCTGTAGGTCCTCGGCCGAGGTCTTCTCCAGGATGGAGAAGGAGGCCAGGCACACGGCCAGGAAGGCGGGCGTGGTGACGGCGTAGGGCAGCAGCAGCCCGTCCTTCAGCAGCAGGGGCAGCAGGCTGTGAAGGGCCAGGGCCAGCAGCGTCCCAGGGGCACCCACAGCATGCAGAGAGAAGAGGGAAAAAACAGTAAATACATTGATCCCTGCTAGAACTGGGGCAGAACAGGGTTTTCATGGAATCACAGGCGGGTTTGGGTTGGAAGACATCTTAAAGTTCATCCTGTTTCAACCCTGACACTATCCCAGGGTGCTCCAGCCTGGCCTTGGGCTCTGCCAGGGATCCAGGGGCAGCCCCAGCTGCTCTGGGCACCCTGTGCCAGGGCCTCACAACCCTCACAGAGATAAATTCCTGCCCCAGATCCCATCCAGCCCTGCCCTCTGGCACTGGGAGCCATTCTCTGGGTCCTGTCCCTCCAGGCCTTGTCCCCAGCCCCTCTCCAGCTCTGTTTAAGAGTTTCCAACTCACCTGAAAGTTGACACCAGTAGAAACCACGTGGCCATAAAGGGGATTTCATTTATGATTAAGCAGACTGGGCTGGAATGAGAAGAAAAAGAGATATCAACTCTTCCCTAATCAAATGTAGGATATCCCCATGGAACAGCAGTGCTGTCCCCACTGCAAGGACAGACCAGCCTGGCTGTACTTGCACACCTTCATTTACAAGTGATTTAGAAAAGCAAATGTGCAGAGTTGTTAAAATCTGATATATTTGTAAGTGAAAGCAGCATGCAATAAGAAGATGAGGAAAAGATCGAATTTTATCCACAGAAAAATAATTTACTCACACTGACACGAGAAGAATCGATTTTTCATGGACTTGAAAGGAGAACAGGAAAAATGACAAGGCACAGCTGACCTTAGGAGAGAGAGCAGAGATGTGTCAGCCTGCAAAGCTCTGCTTTGGTGGCTGCAGGTACAGGCTCTGCGTGGGGGCAATGCTAAACGAGCTCAGTTTCCTAATTAACTTTCAGCCTTTCCTCCAGTGCAAACCCCAGGCACCCAGAGCAGCTCTGTCACCACCCTCACGTACCAAAACCACCTTGTTTGAGAGTTTATCCAGAATTAGTCACAGAGTCCTTCAGGTACAGCCTCAGTCTTGCTCAGCTTCCCTGGCAAGAGCAAGGAATCACAATACTCCCACACATAGGCACTGGCAAATCCCACTCCTGGTAAAAATTACCCCCAGTTTTGACATAAAGTTTTGCTCCTCATCATGACCAGCCAACAGAAAAAGTAAACAAATTGTCTTTTTATTCCCCCACCAAATAAAAACACATAAAACCAACCAGTTTTCAGGATAAATTTTAGGCAATGCTGTGATAAAATTAAAAAGGGAAATTATCTTGTAACTCTGAAACTTAGAACGCAGCTCCATCTACTTTTGATTTCAAGAAGAACTCAGTTTTTGCATGGGAGTGATGGCAATGTGCTTCAATTCAATGATGTGACTAAGAGAAGGCAAACATTTTGGAAAAGAGGATCATTATATTTTCAAACCACTCACGAGCTCACAATGTCCATATGGGGAATTTTTAATGGAATTTTGCAGCCAGTGAAGGAAGAAAAACTGGCACTTCGGAAGCCAAACAGAAAGAGGAGAAATCCCAATTCTGTGTGAGGTTTAAATGTGTGTGGAATCTTCCAAAGGCTCTTCAGAGGAAAATAATAAAAATACAGAGTTAAATAAAGAAAACTGAGCTTAAGGAACAAGTCTGGGTTTAAAGGACAGGTCAGAGCCCTGGATTTGAGGAAGTAAAACACTTTTTGACCAATTCTTTCAGCATTTGATGGCTCCCACCCCTCTGTGCCCTGCACAAGTGCTGTTGGCACTGCTGGTTGCCCTCCAGTGCTTGTGGTGGATACAAAACAAGGAGCAGTGAAAAGCCAACACTCACCAAGGCAAATTTAAACCCTCGCAGGGAAGGCTGGACAGTGAGCTTGATACAGGCAGGCAGCAGGCTCAGGAATGTTACAGCAAAACTAAAGGATTGGGGAAGAAAAACAGTTTTAATATGTGAGTGACTACAGCCATTAACACTTCACTCTGCAGAGCCAGACCTGAATTCTTCACTGAGTCAAGGAGAACTGGGAGCTCTGACTTCTAAGAGCATTGACAGATATTTGAATTCTTTGAATTTGCAAATTTTAACTCAGTTTTAACCAAGCAGCTTAAATCACTATATAAACAAGCAGGGAATTTTTCAGTCATAAATATTCCCAGTATTTCTCTCTCATGACCTGGCAGAAAAATAGAGTATAGGAAAGAACACAGTTTGAGAAGATTTACTCCTCTTGCAAAAAATATTGCAGATAAAAACTACCTAAGGCACTCCAGTTATGTCTTACCTGAGTTTTAGCTGAGTTCGAGGGGATATTACATTCTTTATCTTTATAAGGACACTTAGACTGCACCAAATATTGGCTACTTTATCCTGGAAGGAAATAAAAAGGTAATCAGTGATAATTCTATATAATTACACTCATGTTTGTGGGAGCAATGGGGCTTGGGAGGTGGGGATTGTTTGATTTCTACCATGAGAGTGC